TCCCCATGTCATATCAAGAAAGTAAAGAGTAGAAGGGTTAGAAGACTTCCCTGAGACTCAATCCGAGTCGGAGATAGTGCTGGGGTCTACATGGCAAGCTCTCCCCAATGCACGTAACCAGGCCATAAACCGGTTCTCAGATCTAGCATGCCTCTGCGACATGGCGTCCATCCGCGTGTGTAGGCCATCCACCGAGGTGCGGAGATCCGCGACCTCTTCCTCCAAGGAGCGCAGCATAGGTCGGGAGGACTGTGAGCGTGATAGGCCTGCTCCAGAATGGGGGCGCCGAGAGGGCCCGGCACTGTCAACAGACCTCCTGGATGGTGCAAAAGGAACCGGATCATCCTCTTCATCATCTATCTCAATTGTGGTGCGTGTACCCCTGCCCACTCTGATGCTAGAAGCTTTGAATGCTGCTTTGGGAGGCAAATCTCCATCGGCAGGATTGGTGGGGGTGTTTCTCATCAAGCACAATGTGGTTACCAAGGAAGGGAAATAGAATCCCTTTGTCAGCAGCGGTCCCCGTAAGACCATTTCATCACCAATTATCCGGGCCGCATCAAAATCCTTCCCTGTCAGAAAGCACCAAGTCAATAGTGCCCGATTGAAGTTCACGTCCGTTGTATTGCTGGATGGCAGGAACCTGCTGCAGATAACAGTCAACCAACACTTGGCCAAGTGGGTGAAAGAGTTAGAGTTGAGGGTTATTTGGTCACGTAACCAAATGGGCTGCCCCCCTATGCAAAGTACATCCGTCATGACCTCCCATGTCACCCCTGGTCTGTCATGGTAATAGTCGACGTCACCGGTGAACGGAGGCAGCCGCAACACCCGGCGAATTGTTGGAACTTGAACATTGACCACCGTACCCCGAACAATTACCTCCCTACCCAAGTTCAATGGGCAGTTGGCGTAAAATTCTCGAACCAGCATCTTGTTAACTGGTGCAGGGTCGTTAAATAGGAATTCCATTTCCCGCCTCCGTATTTCTTCATACATCTCCACCTTTTCGGCTCGGAGGGCTACCCGATCAATCGGGATCTCATGGATAAAGGTCTTTGTAGCCTTGGCGTTGAAGTCGTCCTCCGCCAGTTCCGATTGGAATCTGGACTCATCATAAGCAGGTCGCTGGGATGTGCCTCCAGCTCGCCTTTGCCTTTTGGGAGCCATATGACCTGCAAATAATCAAACAAACCATCAACATATGCCCCAACTAGTGCCAATCAGATGGTTACTCAGACTTCGGCACCCGATGACACCAAATATTTCCCCTTAATTCAGTCATAACAACCTCCACAATAGCCCCATAATTTTCTTACCACTTCCGTATAATACACCCCACACTCACTCCTTTCAATGTTACACATGAGATACAACACCACCATATAACAAATACCACCATACCAACAATCAACTACACAACAACAACCATCAATTACAACATCCCAAACCTAGGCTGGGCTTAAAACACCGCAAAAATATACAACATAGTACCAAAATTTTCGGCCAACACATGACCCAATACCATACTACACCACAAAAATCTAGTTTAGGCCTCCAAATTACCAAAACAACTTCACAATTATTAATAATGAGACCATAATTGCACAACAATCTATAACATCAACTACAACAAGTACAACAATGGCAAACATAAAAGAAAGCAAAAAAAATTCAAAATTACTACACTAA